TACAGCAAAAGATAAATTTGAATAAGAACAATTTAAATTTAAATGAAGAAAAAATTAAAAATTTTGAAGATAGAACAGAGATGATAGACAGTAATGTTATTAAAACACCAATATATTTCAATGGAGATTTACGAGACTATCAGAGAAAAGGACTCCAATGGCTAAAAATTCTTTATGAAAATGGCTTAAATGGAATCTTAGCTGATGAAATGGGACTTGGGAAAACAATTCAAATTATAGCTTTACTATGTCATCTCATTGAAAAACAACAAGATGGTCCATATTTATTAATTGCTCCTCTTTCAACTATACCAAATTGGTTGTTAGAATTTGAAAAGTTTGCACCTAAATTACCTGTTGTGTTGTTTCATGGACAACAAGATGAAAGACATATAATTAAAAAAAAAATTAAAACAGGCTACAAAATTACTAACACTTATAGTACATTACCAATTGTACTTACCAGTTTTGAAATGCCAATACATGAACAAAAGTTTATTAAATCTTTAAACTGGAGGTATATCATAATAGATGAAGGACATAGAATTAAAAATCATGAATGCTTACTTATAAAGTATGTTTGTTAATATTCATGGATTTGTTTATATACTGCTATAAGTATTACATCTTAAATAATTAAACTTATTGCTATTTTTAGGATTCTAAAAAGTTGTAAATCTATGAGTAGACTTTTATTAACAGGCACACCATTACAAAATAATTTAGCAGAATTATGGTCATTATTAAATTTTTTATTACCGGAAATTTTTGATGATTTAGCTGTTTTTGAATCATGGTTTGATGCAAAAGAACTTCAGCATGATGAAGGAACTAAAAATTTTTTAAAATTAGAACAAGAAAAGCATGTATTGTCATCATTACGTGAAATATTGCAACCATTTATGTTAAGACGTGAAAAGTCTGATGTATGTTTAGACATTCCACCAAAAAAGGAATTAATTGTTTATGCTCCTCTTACAGAGTTGCAACATAATTTATATAAAGCAGTTTTAAATTATGATATAGCTAGATTAAGTAAGAGTAAAGAAGAACAAATTATATACACAGAGGATGGTAGAAGACCTATGAGAAAATGTGTTTTAAAAAATATCAATAATACTATAACTGAAGGCTTTAAAAGAGAAATGTCACCAGCTAGTTCACTTTGGGAAAGTGATGAAAGTACATGCAGTACTGATGAAACAATTTTATCAACCTGGAAACAATTTACTAATATTACAGAGCATAATCGAGAATTCTTACTTAAAATGCGAATGGTACATAAAAGTAAGTTATTATTTTATGGAATATATAAATCATTACAATATTTTTCATTTTTTATTGTTTCAGCTATCGTGTACAAAAAAATTGTAAATCATCCATATTTAATACATTATCCAGAGGGTACAAATTTATTACCAAAATTAGATGAAGATATAGTTAGATCATCTGGCAAGCTTTTAGTATTAGATTCAATGCTTGCAAAACTTAAAAAACAAAGGCACAAAGTTTTATTATTTTCTACTATGACAAAAATATTGGATATAATAGAAGATTATCTTTCATTACGTAATTATAAATATGTCAGACTGGATGGTCTGACTAGTCTTATAGAGCGAAAAGAGAACATTAAAACTTTCAATACAGATCCTGAAGTATTTATGTTTCTTATATCTACAAGAGCAGGTGGTGTTGGATTAAATCTTGTAGGAGCAGATACTGTTATCATGTATGATAGTGATTGGGTATGTTATTTTTTATATTTGTTTTATAATTGTTATTAATTGAAAATAATTACAAGTATTTATAGAACCCCCAAGTAGATATACAAGCTATGGCACGTTGCCACAGAATAGGTCAAACAAAACCAGTAATGATATATAAATTATGCACCAAAGGAACTCTTGATGAAGCAATTATTAATCGTGCAAAAGTAAAACGTGTTTTAGAGAAGATGGTAATTTCCAAACACAGTCAAGCAGTAAATGTAAATAGTAAAACACATTTGTTGGAACTACAGAGACTTTTAGAGTCAAAAGAATGTCAAGTAATGGCATCTGATCATGAAGGTAAATTATTGAAAGAAATTTTTATATCATTAATTAATAACTAATTGTTAATACAGTTTTTACAGAGGAAGAACTTAACAAATTATTAGATAGAAGCGATATGTATG